GCATTAAAGTGTTCCCAAAGTGCTCCTCAGCCCCACCCAGGAAAAGCATGGGCAAGTTCCAGCTGTGAAAAACAAATTGTGCCGTTCAGAGGGGACAACTCCCCCATGCACCTGATCTAAAGAAGGAAGTGTTCCTCTTGGTCCGAAGCCTTCCTGACTAATATCTTGTTGCTTCCCTCAGCTGGGGACAGAGATTGCAAAATGCTGTGAGCAGGAAGTCCACCTAGCACCAAAGGGCTAAGAGAGTATGTGCTGGTAGAAGCTGCTGGTTTTGAGTAGGTAAAACCTGCAGAAATGCGCAGTGCCATTGCATTTATGTACAACAGAAGCAGCACAGCAGAGTGAGTAAAAGTCACCATCAAAGGTTAACGGGTGAGGGATGTGAGTTGATGAATGACACGTGGTATGTAGCATGTGCAATTACAGTTAGAAACCCGAGCCAAAACCTCAGATGGTTTAACTTCAGAGCACGTCACAGAATTTAATAAAATTATTCTGAGACCTAGCTGGGTCCCTGTCTGCTAATTCAGGGCGTAGGTCCTTGGAGGTAGTAACCTGTTCAATATCTGCTTCTTTTGGCACTGGTAAAGCAGGAGCTGATGCCAGGTGGCAGCCCAGCCATGCACATCCACTCTAGTAGAGTAAGCTCACACCACAAGGGAGAGCGTGTCCTTGTAGACCCACAGAATGAAATCATAATTTGCAATTATCATGTGTTTCATTCTACTTTTTTTTAAATGGATGTCCCGAACAGATAAATCCCTCAAAAAAGACCTGTTAAACAAAGAAATCATTCCGCTCTGTAGGTCAACAGATTTTTCACCCAGAAAATGCGAGTACCACATGTTTGAAACTGAGAAGAGGGCAAACAGGCTGCCTGGTAGCAGTGAGCTAGCGATAGAACTCTGTGTTATTCCCATCATGGGAAGAGCACAATCGTGCTACGAGGGGATGCTTCTAGAAGGCTTTGGCTATTTGCAGCTCCTTCCAGCTCCAGAAAGCCAAATATTGCCAGAAGGGAAAAAAAAACCCAACAAACGCCAGACACCAGCTAGCACTAGCTGAAACCCCAGGAGCTACAGGAATCCTAGAAGCTGCCTATGTTCAGCAGCCTCTATCAGGAGTAAGTTCTACTTGTTTTCTCGAAGGGGATCTCCCCAGAGGAGTGCTGGTGTCTGAATTAGCTATTTCTCATTTGGAGAAGCCCCCGCTTTTATGGATTGCATAATGCAGTCCAAGCAAGGGATGCAGCAATGGAGTGTTTCAACCATGAATACTTCGCCAATATTCAGTAAGCTGTTCCATTTACAGCTGGCAGCCATTCATACACGGGCAAGGGGACAGGAGGAACACTGTTGTGGCTTTATGCTACTGCAGCCAGCTTTTCTGCTTTCAGTTAATTTAAAAATAAGCCAAAGCTGGGTAGTCTTAGAACAGGGGAGCGCTGCTGGGTTGGTCCTTCCTCTTCTCTTATGTCTCTGAGATAGTCCTTCTACAGCCAACCGCAACTGTCCTGGACACGTATCCTCTGCAGTTTCCTTCAGAGTGTGTCCTCATTGCTGTCAAACGTTGGATTGCTATGGCCTCCCATATTTCTCTCTACTGATATTGCCACAGAATCTGAGAAGAAGGTTTCATTCAGAGGCGGCCAGGCTGAGTCCTGCTCTACCACTCGCTGCAGCTTCTTGTAATGGCTCTTTGAGTGGTACCGGAAGGTCTTTTTCAGCAGCAGCCATAACGGTCTGTTCTCGATGACAGCTTCCTGTAAAAGCAAGAGCAAAAGGAAGATTCTGGAGGACCTGAATAACAGTTTTCCCTCTTCATCCACAGGACACATATGGGGCAAGTAGCGAAGACACAGATCTCCCACCCTGTCGTGCTCATCCACATTCCATAAATAGCCTTTTACTGACCACTTCTCATACCAGTTCGACCACAGGTCTCCACCAGAAAACTGGGACCAGCTCCTCCCGATAATCGTCAGGATCTGAGTCGGAAACATGAAGACTGCCCATCTATCTCTAGCCTGGGGCAGGGCCTGATACATTCTGCTCACCAGAGGAAAGAAAAGGTTGTTGGGCCTTGTATTCCCTTATATCTGATCACTCAGATGTGGGGCTTTGAGGAAAGAGAGTAAGGCCAAGGTAGCAGCAATGGCTCCTGTTTTAATAGATATTCCCAAGCTGGGCTGAGGAGAAGGGAGAAATAGTAAGACCTGACTCTTGTCTCTCCAATTAGTGCTGACAGGTACATTCAATGAAGCATGCTCACCTCGACAAGGAAGGACACAGCAAGTGTGACTGCCAGCATTATCACCATGGAGATTCGCCACGTGGTAGGGGTGCAAACAAGCTGGGAAAAAAGCAGGAGAAGCTGTTACAACAACATGTGCACACACTAGACACTGGTAGGAGCTTGTATCATAGAATCATAGAATCATTTAGGTAAGAAAAGACCCTTAAGATCATCGAGTCCAACCATAAACCTAACACTGCCACTAAACCATATCCCTAAGCACCACGGCTACCCGTCTTTTAAATGCCTTCAGGGATGGTGACTCAACCCCTTCCGTGGGCAGCCTGTTCCAGTGCTTGACAACACTTTTGGTGAAGAAATTTTTCCTAATATCGAATCTAAATCTCCCCTGGCACAACTTGAGGCTGTTTCCTCTCATCCTAACACTTGTTACTTGGGAGAAGAGACCGACTCCCACCTCACTACAACCTCCTTTCAGGTAGTTGTAGAGAGTGATAAGGTCTCCCCTCAACCTCCTTTTCTCCAGGCTAAATAACTCCTGTCCCCTCAGCCACTCCTCATAGGACTTGTTCTGTTGCCCCTCACCAGCTTTGTGTCATCAAAAGCCAGAATCCCACAGTGGCTGTACACTGCTGATGAGCCAATATAGCTACTTGTCTTGAGGAATTATTGATAAAGACACTTTTAAACTTATGATGCAGCAGAGAAAACTGCATTCCAGAACTGCAACGGGAAATCTAAATGCTTCCTTTCTTTCTAATACAGGAAATAGTTAAAAGTCTGAGTATTTCAGCTCCAAACCCGGCTCCAGCTTCTCACAGCTGGCAGCATTGGCTTTCTGGCTCTAGCTCAACTTATTCTGGAGATGCAGCTCAGATCCAAAATGTGAATCAGCAGTTTCTCCAGGGCCAGGCTATAGAGAATTTCTTACCGCCACTCCCTCCTTTTCTCTTCCCAGCAAACCCAGTGTATTCCCTCCAGACAGCCTGGGAGTTTTGCAGTTCTCCCAAAGGCATTTTAGCCCTCACAGCTGCAGTGGTCACAATGTCCTGTGTCACAACAGTCCACAACAGGACTAAGACTTGCTTTGAAGTGCCATCTCGTGGCAGATTCTTTAACTGGGTCTGCCCACTGAGCCGCTGCTCCGGAAACAGTTACATGATGAGGCAGCTTTAGCTGGGCTGTCTGGTGTTCAAAATCCAGGTCCATTCCCCTTGTCTATGTTTCTCTTTCCGTGTTTCACTATTTCCATTTCTAAATCCACTTGCTAACTGTCACACAAAGATACAGGACTGGAATCAACATATTTTTCAGTACTTGTTATCCAAAGCTACCACAGTTCATCACTCTGATGAGAAATGTACTGCAAAAATAGCCATGTGTTGCTTTTGTTGTTTTCTTCCTGCGACTTGTACTACAAGGCTGTGAGTGTCATAGTGGAGGAGGTTAACACCTCCCAGCCTCAACATACTAATTGCCAGGTCCACTGACAACCCTGTCCTATGGCTGATGTAGATCTTATCCTTCCCTTGCATTTCCCCTGAGATGGATTTGCACAAGGCAACTCCCAGATTGCATTCTGCCAGACTCCATAAGCCAAGCCCTATTGGTATTTATTAATCAAGGATCAAGATACATCTTCTATTGCAATGACAGCCCCACTAGTCTTTCTCTACAACTGTTCTAAACCAAAATTCTGCTTTAGGAAACTGAGAGCTGTCTGAAATTTAAACAGGGAGCCTGACAACATTGGGGACTGAGAACTGAGAGATGCTAGGAGTGTGAACTGACAGATCTTCTTTGCAAGAGGATCTGTGTGCAGAGTAGCACAGCCTGAGAAATGTAAGTGCATGGTGCTTTAGTCTAAACTTGCAGAGCATAGCCCCTTTTTTCTCCAGGCTTCACAGCTATCAAGCCAGCAACGTACCGAGCAAGGTAAGCTTAGTGATGTCATCTTCTGTTGCATGGACAATGTGCTGGAACAATCAAACTTACATGTATAGCTGTCCAGGTGTCAGAATGCACAGATCTTAGTTTGGAGCTACTGTATCTCAGAAGGTTCTTCAATCCCATCATCTAAAATCTATCTCTTTAAATTTGATTTGTCTTTAGAGGTGCCATGTATCCCTGCAAACGTCTGTGCCTTTTGTTAAAAACAATCCCACTTATAATAGGCCTGGCAGTAGGAAGAAAACCCACCTTGGAACAATACTCACATCCATCTTAGAGTAGAGATCATCAATATCGGCAAACACCAAGAAGAGGCAAATGCCCAGCTGCCCTGTGAGCACCAGTATGAACACATCTGAAGGGACAAGAACAAGCAAATAAAACCGCAGGTTTATGAGCAAACTCAGCTGCTTGCCTTTTCTACAGAAGATTGTAATAATTTTCTGTGCCAAACAGTCAAAAAAATCCCTTAGATGGGAAGACACTTTGAGCAAAAGAAAAACGAACATAGTAAAATTCCAGCTTTACTCAGTTAAGTAGATATATGTGAGGCTGGGACAAGCGTTGTAGCCACAGGTTTAAAGGCTCCTGCTTTTTTGGCTGGCATCACTTTGGTCAAGTTTTAATTTTCCCTCATGAATTGACCTCCTGAGTTGACTTACTCACAGATCCCTCCTCCTCTCCCCATACTTACAGTTTGTGTAGATGGGTTGCCTGAAAGGCTTTCCCTTGGAAAACACTAGGGCTACAATGAGGCAGTTGATGGTACTTAGCAGCCACACTGTGGTGTTTTCATAGCTCTTGTAGCCATTGGCCGTTTGCTCAAGGGCTTCACCTCTTATCCCATGGAGCCCCAGGCTAGAAATAGAGGAATAATTCTCCATGTGGTTGTTCATTGAGAGGCAGGCGCTGAAAAAGAGTGTCACACTGGTCAGCAAATGATCACTGTCCTGGTTATTTCCCCCAGCTTCCACTAGCACTATCACAAATCCTCCCTCACAGCCATGATTTGCTCCCAGTATCACAAGGATGTAGGTTATTGGCAATGTCCTCAATCTTACCTACTGGGTTGAGCTTGCTGAACTTGGTGGAGCCTGAGCTCAAACCTACTTGGATACCCTGGTCTTCCCTGTAATGAAATACTCCGCTTTGTGCTCAAAAAAAAAAGCATTCTCACCACATGCACTGTGTTGTGCAGCAGACTTGCTGGAGAGCTTAGGGACCTACAGACAGCACTGTTTAATGTGTTTGCACCCTGTGGGGAAGCACAGGATCTGCCTGCAGCTACTGATCAGGCCTGTAGTTAAGCTGATCAATAGTACCATGCAGACCTGTCCCACTAGGTCTGCCCTGCGTCACCCAGAGTCCGAAGCAGGGGACTGTCCTGGTTTCAGCTGGAACAGACTTCATATTCTTTCTAGTGGTTGTTGTGTTTCAGATGTTGTATGAATGGACTGTCAGCAATGCATATTGTTTTAGTTGTTGCTAAGCAATGTTTATGCTTTTCAAGGACTGTTTTCAACTTCCCATAGAAGAGAAGGAGTACAGACAGAACAACAAAATGCCCAATGTAATATTCTGTAGCATAGACATCATGCTCAGTATATAAACGGGGTTGGCCCAGGGGGCACAATGTGCTCCAGACAGTGCCAATTCACCAAGTGATGAGAGTGACCAGTGTCACTATTCTAGTGTCATTATTACTATTATTGTTGTTGTTGTTGTTATTTTCCTTTTCTGATATTGTTCTACTGAACTGCCTTTATCTCAACCCATGAGTGTTTCTCCCCTTTCCCCTCATTTTCTCCCTCTTCTCCCTGGCCCTCCTGGGGAGGGAAGCGGGGTGAGCAAGCAGCTGCATGGTCCTAGCTGCTGGCTGGGGTTAAACTACAACAAGGACCTACCTGTGTATATCAGTCTTGGAATACCAAGGCTGCTCCTGAACGACCACAAACCCGAAGATCTGCATGCTGAGGCTGAAGAGGATGTTAAGTACAACAGAGAGCAGCAACGGGGGAGAGATGAGCTGGCTAGGAGGCCTGTAGGGAACCAGCTTTGGATAGGCACCTGTGAAACTCACTGAAACATGCACAGACAGGTTTACTAGTGTGTCCAAAATACAAGCAGTGCTGCTGTATATTACTGACTGTTATCAATGGCCAGCACTTTTCCAGTCTATAATGTTCTTTATAATACCTACAAATATTACATCAAGTACAAAGTACAGACTTGTTTTCTTACAAAATCTTATTGGCTACAGAAGGGGTTAATTAATGGCATCATACTATCATGAGGCATTTTTGGAAAATAAAACGTTGGATTCTTATTTGGCTACTGTCAGGCTTAAGGATATAAGGATATACTCAAGTTCTTCTGTTCTCTTTCTGTCACTTGTCAACTGTGGGTTGGGATTTTCTGCTACCCATGCTCTGTGCATCCTCCTGGACTAAGCACCTAGTGCCCCCGATTATCTGAGCTGGTAGAGGACTGCATTAGCTGATCCAACAGGTTTTCCTCTGTTCTCAGGTTTAACAACGTTATTCAGATTTTGAGTAAAAGAGCTATACGGATAGCCTTGATGCAGTGTTCCAAATGGGCTACTTACAGCAAGATATCTTTTGGCACACGGTATTGTAGCTGACCCTTTTAGGCTTGATTTAATCAACGCCTTTTCCAGTTGTCTGTGTTCCAGCAGGGATGGAAGACAGCTATGTGGTTTTGATATGTCATTTTCATGCCCCTTGCCATTTCTGCTCCTAAACCTCTTCCTGCATTTACTCTATCTCAACAACCCCATCTTTCTCTTTGACCTCCAGCACTGGTCTGCTCCCTTATTCTTGGCTTACAACTTCCAGCTCTGTAGTGTCTGACATCTGTCATTTCTTTCCTCCTTGAACTTCATGAATTTTGCACGGGCCCACCTCTCAAGCCTGCCAAAAATCCCTCTGGATGGCATCCCTCCCCTCCAGCATGTCGACCACTCCACACAGCTTAGTGTCGTCAGCAAACTTGCTGAGGGTGCACTCAATCCCACTGTCCATGTCACTGACATGGACCCTTAGGTATCTTCTTGATCTACCTTCCTAAGTCAACAGGAAAAACCTGAATAGACTTGCCACTCCATTTGGTCTGTTTTTATTCCTTCTACAGATAACATCCCTGTTATCAACAACCTACAAATGCGCCACTAAGAATTGCCCATCTTATTTCAGAGATTTTCTCAAACAAGACACCTCCTCTACTAATCTAAACATCCTGCGCTCTATGTAGTCTCTCTCTTTTCTCCCTTTCCGTATATAGGATTATGCATTTCCAAGGAGGTGAAAAATATTTGAGATGATTCTCTCATTAATACATAGGATGACTACAGGGCTTACTTGTCACACCAATTACAGTGGTAATAGCCAAATCTTGGAACAAAAATTGGTAATTCCCAAAGGAGTTTAGTTGCTGAAAAGAGGAACACAAAAGAAAAAAAAATCACAAATCAGACATTTGCTGTGGGCTTGTTTATATCGTCTTCAGAAAGCTGTATTCTTTTCACGGAGCTAATGCTCTGCTGTTTGTTCTGAAACACTAGCCAGCAGATAAGGGGACTACACAATCCACCACCCTGCCAATAGATTCAGTCATCACTGGGCCTGCAGTGAATACTTTCATTTTGTGCGTTGTACAGACTAACGATGCTTCCAGTTCACTCAATGCAAAAAAAACCCAAAGAAGGCTATTTGAAGAGACACGCTTTCTCAATCCTGGATGACTTCTGAATGTGAAGCCCTCTTCTCTATTTGGGTAGAAGCCACGCAAAAGTGGCTTAAGGCACTCTAGGGGATTTTGCTTACTTGTCAAGCTAATTTATGCTTTAAATGCTGAATAAATTGCAAGAGCATACGGTCATGCCAGATTCTCCCTTTTCGCAGACATAAGCCCTCATTTAATACACTGTTCAGTATCTCAGCCTTCTTTCTGCCCAGCTTGGATCTTGAGCCCACTGGCTGAAGTTAATGGGAAGAATCTTTCCAGTTTTCAGCTGAGGGTACAGGAGAACCATATGATCACACCACAGAAGTCTGCAGCTCAGATAAAGGTAAAGCTCCATACCCTAGTTTTATTGTGGCTTTTATGACATGTTTCTCCTACAAGGGAGTAGTAGCTCACCCAGTTCTAGCCAACACGTTCCCAAGACATACCCAGTACAGTAGGAGAACACCAAGGTACTGAATGGTGCTGTACAGTGCCATGTACTTGAACATGCAGAAGGAAGTGACGAGGGCAGCACGGCCTTCCCTGTGTGAAGAGATGAATAAAGGACAGCAGTTAGGTGATGGGTCTGCTCCTGTTGCCAGACTCAAAACGCTGTTGAAAACCAAAGCATGTGTCACAAGTAGAGAAGTCTCTGCTAGTATCTTGCTGGGAGGTGAAATCAAAGCAATCTGGCCTGAATCAAAGTAAAATCTTCACTTGCAGAAATCTTGCTGCAAGCAAAAGGGTTTGATTCCAGTCATCTATGTTCCCAAGACTACAGTTTACCCCAGCGAGTCTTCTGCTGACGTTAATAGTGCAGGTAACAACTCCTTATGAGGAAAAACGTACAAAGCCAAGCAGCCACTCAGTGAGTTCAAAGTCACAAGTCCTCCCCTCCTGAACTGAACATACAGTATGCAATGAGGGTAATGCACTCTCTCTTGTTATTCATCTGCCCCAGTAAGCAAAATCAGGACCCTGGCATAACAGATGCTGATGGTTTTTTTGCATAGGGTATCAGAGGCTACACTAACAGTAGTGTACAAGTTGATACTGTGGACATTTGACTCAGCTTTATGGAGCATTGTTCATTTTGCTATTTCTTTTGCATTTAAAATACTGTTAATGACATAAAGCTCAGCTATAGATGCCCTCCTCCTGTAGTTTTGATGGAATTAATATATCTTAACGGAATTTCAAATGGGAACTAGGCAAATGACAATTTCAAGGTCAGAGACATTTATTTTTCTCTACATACATACATTCTGGCCTGGTGAGAACACCCAACGCTAATATTTGAGAGGAGTGGCACCTGCCTCCTTTAGGAAACAAAACCCCATGCTTACCTGATTAGCTCTGGCACACATGCTATGCTGGGGGTTTGGGATGTGAAAGGTGAAGCCACAGATGCCTCCTGCTCCGACAGTGATATCCCTGCATGTGCCACTTTCAGAGCCTGAAAATGACATTCTCCTTTAGTATTCACAAACCAGGAAGACACAGCAATTGATATCTCAGCCAAGAAATGACCCCTTATCACAGGCTGCGTTCTGTGAACAGCAGTGCCTCTTCATTCCCTGGGTGTGCTCCACCCAAAAGGTTCCTCCAGTGGGAGATGGTTGAGGCATCGGGTCCAGAAGAAGAATGGGACTGACACCATGGGAAAGTCCATTTCCCACGGAACCCAAAGCCATCCACCACCACTCTAGCTGCAGAAGACAGGTTTGGCGCTGCCTCCTTTCCCAGCACTTATTTGCAGTCACACCTTATGCAGACAGTCTAGGTTCTCTACTTGCTTCCCCCAAGAGAACCCTTGGGACTTTGTCTTAGGGCAAGCCAGTGCTTCACTGTCTAGGTGGCATTGCTCCCACTGACACAAGGATGTCTGAAGTCATGGAGTAAACTGAACCTGCCCAGAAGGGAGTTATGGGTCCCTCCTGAACATGGACCCTTCCTTTTGACAAAAAAAAACCCAAAACAAAACGTTAATGCACTTCTAAAGTATGCATTTACAAAAACCTTGTAGGGCTACAGCTGTTCCCCATGGAAACTCCTCCTCACCATAGTCTTCTCCACCCCTAGACACTGAAAATTTTGACAGAAACCCCAGTGGAGGATTTGGAGAATCCTCTCGTGGTTTTTGCAAAGGAAATGAATCAGTCCTTGAGACCACAAACTGCAAGAATCTCTGCCTAGGACAGCTCTTGCATGGTAAAAACCACACGGTGGGATCAGTCTGAATCACTACTGGTGCCAGGACAGCTGTTCTGTGAATAAGCAGAGCACTCCGACCTCCAGCATGTGCTGAGTTTGGGGTATTCTACTGGCATTGCATTTGTTTTTCATTTTTTAAATAAATATATTGTAAAGAATTTTCACTTACCCCACAATCATTGGCTCCATCTCCACACATGCCCACAAAGTAACTAAAAAATGAAGTGACCGACAGTTCAGTGCCAGGAAAAGGGAGACCTATAAACAGGAGGGAATCAGAACCTCCTCCATGCGAGTCATACATGCAAGTCATGCGAGATTTTTGTTTTTGCTTTGGGGTTCTGTCCTGCCAAAATCTCCTGAGGCAGAGAGCAAGCGACAGGGGCAGCTGGAGTAAAGAAAGAAGGAGAACATGGGAGAATATGGATATCTGGAGGCAGCTCCCCACCCTGAGTCTGAAATAACCTTGTGAAATGATGAGCCCTAAAAGCAAATTCTTACATCTCCAGCATCCAAGTAAAATCAACATAGTGCTTCAGAAGCTGACTCACTTGTGTCTTTTACTGCTGAGGCCTGGATTTCAGTGCAGGGGAAGTTCTCACTGAGAGGCAGTGATGGTGGTCCAGGGAGGCCAGAGAGTGGTTGGGGCACTCACAGCTGCTCATACCAGGCTTAAAATCTGAAACAGCCTAAAACTTACCCTGCTCTAGGGCAAGGCCAGGGGCTAGGTAGTTGAGGTGAGGGTGGGGGGTCTTCAAAAGACTTGGGAAACAGCTGAATAACAGGCAACAAGACACCTGGGACTCAGGGATACTTATACACCTCTGTGGCTGTGAGCAGCCCAGGGCATACCAATCCAGACGGCCCTGCCCTGTTTTCTAACCCATCACAGTGAGTCAGCAACAGCACAGTAAAAAGACCACTAGCATCAGAAAAGCTGCAGTGCTGGGAGGTATTCCTAAAAATCTTGGGTAGACAAGCGCCCCTCCTTCAGGCCCAAAAAGAGAAATAAGAATGAAGGATGATGTGAAAAAACAAAACCCAAAATCATGGGAGTGTTAGGTTTTTGAGAGGTTGCTAAACCAACATGGTCTTCAGTGTCACTTCTTTAACAGGCCTTTGGAATTCAATAGCCAATGTGTATGTCTGTGGAAGTTTCAGTTTTGTGGACTTCCAGGGAACGCTATGTTAGACAAAAGCTAGCTCTTACTAGACTCTTTTCAAGTCTGGAAATTCATCAAATGCTTCCTTACTCTCTTAGTGCTCATTAGGAACTTACTCCAGCTTTTGAAACTCTTCTACGAGGCTGGATTTTTGACCAGGAGACATTCTAGA